TGAGACGTCATGTTAATAAAATCATCCAAATAAACTGTGAGTTTATTATCTGGCATAGTGAATTTATTCTATTAAAAATATGTTGAATAATTTTGACATGTTCTCACATTCACAGCTCAGACCGTCGCTGCTGAGTTCCCCACTGCTGCAACTGCACACAAATGATCCAATGGTGTTCTCACAAATGTCTTGGCACCCTCCATTGAACAAGTTACACTCATTTATATCTGAAAACAAAATATAAAACATCAAGTATCCGCATACCCTTTCTTCCAAGGCGGTATCTAAATATAAAGTGTTAAATGTTAAGTATAGGATAGGTTTTAATGAAGTGGCAGGGGTGCACATGTAACTAGTAACTAGGCCAGAATCAAGTTGACGGCACAACAGGTGATATTTATACGCAACGAAAGTATTTAAAAAGGGAGAATGGGTACCTTAAGTAATGCAGACAGGCAATGTTATTTTGCATGTTATGTCCTCAAAAAAGTTGTGACGACAGCATGACGTCGAAATGACGTCCCGAGGCTGCAGCGTGCCTAAATGTATAACATAAGTGGACTGACCTTCACACGTAATACCGTCTTGTCCCAACTGGTATCCCGAGTCACATTCACACCTGAAGGAACCAGGTAGGTTGTTACACCCCTGTGCACAGCCTCCGTTATTGATGCTGCATTCATCTACATCTGTAATGCATCAGAAACGAAATATTTGTAGCACCCTAAAAATACGTAGTGCATTGATATGAAGACCAGACAATTCTGGTGTTTTTAGCCTAGAAATTCTAAAAAAATATCAATTTATCTAACAAAAAGGCCAAATACGGCGGTTTTCTAATGATAGGCCTATTTGATTTATTTATTTATTTATTTTTTTTTACTGAAAATGCCAATGGTAACCAAGATGTAATTTGATTTAGCCAATTCCACCATTTTTATAAAATATGATTCCCCAAAACGACAACAAAAGGCAAATTAAATAAGATCAACCAGACGGTATACACCGATTAGGCTTTGTCAATTTCACCATTCGTTTATTTCAAACAGCACACATTTCGCGCAAGCGCAGTCGTTTGAATGATGTGCTGATACTTGTATTAGTTTGACGTATCATGTTCCAGGTATCATGGGCCAGAATAAAATAATATGTAATTTGGCCGTAGGGGGTTGAGATAACAACAGGTGACATACTAGTAAAATAATTTTATAGTTTTCTAAAAAGGAAATAAGTAACTTCTGAAATGCAGGAAAACAATGCCATTTACACGTGATTACGACGGCAAAAGATTATTGTGACGTCACTATAATATCGAAATGACGTCAGCAGCGTGCCTAAATGTATAACATAAGTGGACTGACCTTCACACGTAATACCGTCTTGTCTCAGCTGGTATCCCGAGTCACACTCACACCGGAAGGAGCCAGGTAGATTGATACAAACATGTACACAGCCTCCGTTATTAATGCTGCATTCATCTACATCTGTAATGCATATATATATACATGTACGCCATAGATATACTATGAGTCATTGGGCTATACGTGGAATATTTGGTGTGTTGTAGAGCTCCAGGCTAGACAATACCCGAGTTAGCTCGGTGACGAATGCTGTATTATGCTTATACCACGGTCTCAGATTGGCTGCTACATTGCTCTTACAATATTTTACTCATACATGTTCAGGGTAGAGATTGGACGATACTCTAGACAATTTTATAGTTAGTGAGAACGTACAGGTCCGAAACCAGCGATTTCAAAAGCGGGTATTTTAACCAAATACGTCCATGGGCCTGGATCACCTTTTACCCAAAATGGATCATTTCCAGGCAAAAAGGACGGTTCATAGTTCATTCTTTAGAGTCTGATTTGCTATGAGAAAGTCAGCACAAGTATTACTAAATAGTCATTCCGTGAGTTACACCTTTCATAATTTCAGAGAGGTTTCAATTAAGACAGTGTTCAGAAAAATATTACTTTTTCACACCTTCCCCCTTTTATCACTTATTAAAAAATGTGATAATCTTACCCCTCACGTGTTCCACTTCACGTTCTCGTAATTAATATAAGTTATATCCAATATGGCATTTATGTAATTGTTATTATTATTGTTACTATTATTGCATTTCTTATAATCATACTGATGATTTTATATTTCAGTAGGACACGCCCTCCCCTTCATGTTCCCTACAAAGCAGGATCCATACTCTGATACTGTATTATCTATTAGAGCTCTCCTGTTATTCAATCTACCACTTCTAGATATCAATCTTGCACTGCGGATTATGAAATTACACATTCATTCCCATGATTCCTAGAACCGGAACCGGATCATTGGTGAGCAACCTTAGTTGGATCGACTATTTCTACAATCTTTGAATCCCGAACATGTTAATAAGGACCTGCTTTCAAACGACATTTACACTAGATACACTCCTCCATCAGTCCACATACCTTGGTTACAACCTGGTCCCTCCCATCCGGCACAACAAACCTGCTTGGTACAGTATGAGGTAACAAGTCTATATAAAAAAGGAATCCGATTTTATAAATAATGCTCACTACTATACTCATTTCCATAATTATTTGAACTAAATGTAGGTTTATTATTTATTTTACAAACGAAGGCACCTGAGTGCTCAGAAGTGAAAACGACTACTATTTAAAGCTATGTTTCGATCTGAAGTAGATTTTGAATTTACGTTTGCCTGCCCGGAGACCAGTGTCAATTGGTATTTCACAAACTGGTCTTTCGACCTTTACCCGGTACCTTATCTAATTTTCTTACCTGTAACGAATACATTTCCACCAAGCGCATTTAGTCGTATACCGCTGAACTTTTAAGCAGGTGACATTTTTTGAACAGAAAGACCCTGTCACAATGGGTGCTAATGCTGCCAACCTGCAGGAGAAATAAACCAAGAATTCTTGAAACCCTAAATTCGATGAATTAATAAAACATACAGACACTCTACCAGTGCGAAAGATTGGTTTTTCACAAAATATTCACATATATGTCTTTAAAAACACCCCTGTAGAATGTAATTTGGTTCTCTGTTACCTTGTCATGAAACCTCAATCTCAATAACATATTCTGAAAAGCTTGTTACTTCATATTGAAGTTAGTAAGGAGTCTCCTGTTGAAGCTCCTTTCAGAGCGGTACAATGCGATATGCGCACGTGCAGGTTTAACTGGTTCCATCTGGCCAAAATTTACTGGGAGACTTTTGAAAAAAAATACCTATTATATCTGACGCCCTGGTAGAGAGGACGACCAGTGCTTGAGAAGACCGGCGTCAGAGTAATGATAGTATTGTACAATGACCTCGTCATATTGTACGATATACGTCAGTGATACTGTTTGCACCAGTTCACTTTGAGAGAAAATACAGACCTAACATTTAATATGGAATATTCTCCAAATCATTTTTCATCATTTTTCCTAGGATTAAAATTGTGTTTAATAACTTTGAATTATCTCTTTGACATTAGTTCATTAATTGAATTCGCCAGTGAAGCTAACAAAAATAAATTACTCATTCTATGTCATACGACAATCATTAAAATAGATAGTTTGGATCGTCTGTAAAAAAGTTACACACTCCGCAAAGACCCTCATACATGTATCAGTGTCTAGTCACAGTAACGGGCACTGTACGCATGACCTCTTCTGGCTGCTACCAGCGCTTTCAAGCGGCAAGCAAATCTTTGGGATAGATTTTTAGAGCTCAATCTGGAATAGCATTCCTGGCATCGGTCAGAACTTGTCCAATTTGGTTCAATTTTGTTGTAGACATGTAGGCCGTGAAGAACGATATTTTATTGCAATAAAACGCTATTGTGAGGCTCCACGTTTGATCCAATGAAGGGAGTTTTATCAATCAGTTCAAATGTTTTATATTCTTCATGTTTTAATTCTCAAAATTCTTTTTATCCACCCAAGTCAAAACCCTCTGATAGAGATTCCATTCCCCTACCACAAAGGTTGCAATTGGTGCTCGGACATTTAAGAAAAAAAAATATTTTTTAAAGATAATTTTCCAAGCTAATAAATCTCACGGCGAACTGAACTGAGTTGAGCGATGGTTTCAATTATTTAAAAGAGAGATATTTCAGTTACTACTGGGAGATATTAAGTTGTAAATTTCTAGTTGGTGAAGTTTTATAACTAATGCATTTTTAACCCGAGGAATTGAATAACAAAAGACAAAACTGTCATATCATTTTATTACTTAAGTGTTTATTTAGCTAATCCATCATTTTGGTAAGGTGAACCGAAACATTTCCAGGGACGATTTTGTACGTTGGTATGATTTAATTGGTAGGAGTGTTGGACAGAAAATAAATTCTAGCTGGTAATTGTTTGGCTGTATAAAAAGAATAATAATGCAACAGAAATACTGGATAACAAGGTTTTCACGTCTTAATTCATTGAGTGTATTTTATTTATTTCTGTTCACCATTCAGAAAAGGGCGTTTAATGAATGCAGTACCAATGGCAACCTTGTCAGTGATAAAAATATCGTATGTATTATTGCGTACATTTGGTCTTAATGTCTATTTTTCTCAGAGGAGAGGAAAGAGAAGTTTTTGACCTTCAACAATGTTTCAAGGACAGGTGTTTTTTCGTGATTATATCATTTGTTTTAAATTTCAGCAACAAAATGACAAACTGACAACTGAAAATTAGTTAACACCACTCTAGAAAAACTTGTCAAATTTTAATTAAATTGCACAATTCCCAATATACATGTATTGTAAGAAATGAAATTATCATTTGCTGACACGTTAGGAAAGCTGCTTTTCAATATTAAGGTACAATACCGATAATTTACTAGGTGTCCATAAAGTTGAATATAAAGTGCATTAATTTACTATCTGTCTTCTTTTAATAGGACGAGTTCCGCCTCCGATAGAAATCCAAACATTAATTAACATATTTGCACATTCTTATTTCTTTATTTCTTCACTTGAGTTTTTAACCATTTTTGTTTAATTAATTTTATTCATGGTCACTTATCGATTACTTCCTAATATGCAGTACAAATATTAAAGAGAGTCATTCTTATAAGAGTTATAACAGATATTCTAAGACATTCCAAATAGACAAAAATATACAGCTAAAACATTTCAACATTTCAAGTAAATTACTAGATCTTACATCTGCCATATTACATTACAGGTGTTGGCCACAAAAAAAAAAAAAAAAACTCATTTGTGGGTCTGGGGTGAATTAATTAGCTTACCTACTTGAGCCATTAAATTGAATTTTCATTTTGTAGCGTAATCTTTATACAGTATCACTGCCATTGCACATTAAGGCGTAGTTATCATCTTCTGCCTTTTTTAACATGCAAACGTTCTCTAACCTGAACCTGCTATTTCATATCTGCCATTTTTATTCATGTTCTACTCTAGAGTTAAACATTGCCAAACTACTGCTACACACGTTCAGATACCATTCTACTGTAAAGGCACTGCTCTGGTGGACCATCACGTATAGATAACTTTAACTGTCAATGTGTAAGACCTCCTTATCCATTGTATTTTACAATCATCGAATGATTTTCCTTTGTAAAAATGATGATAAAATGTTGACCCCTAATTATATTAATACCGATACATATAAACCATATGTGAAAATACTCGAGTTAAACATAAATGTTGTCAAGATTGTCACGTTTTTGTACGTGTCTTTCCTTCATTTGACAGAAGTGAAAAATAAAGCAATCAAACTCACCACCCAAGTACTAGCAACAGATAGAGAGAGTTCATCTTCGATCTTCTTCACGGAAAATAATTCACGTCTGCCGCCTCTGCAGGACGGGTGAATTATACGTGTTGAAAGTATACCACAGTGAATATATACACCCAGAATCTGTTCGTTATCCACGTTTCAGGACCTATTGTAATTATCTTTTATACCTTAATCAGCAAGGAAAAACATTTGAGAACTGCAATCGACGATGCATATGTAAAACGCCTCAGAGAAAAACCACAATGTGAATATTTAAGGTATTTTCCCCTTGACGTATCATCCACTATTAGGGCATGCTTCCAGTAAAACTAGTAACGCAAGAAAAGCACCCCTGGTTATTGATTTACCGCAAGATTATTATATATGATGGACAAGGATGCACCCGTTCCAGATCTTGTGCTGTGTTCAGAATAGAAGTCATCAAACTAAAAAAATCAATCTATGTCAGCGGTGATTCTCGCTAAGGCGCAGTCAGTGTGACCAGTTTAATTGTCTGGTACGCCCTGCCGTAACTTAAAGTACCTGGGCAAAGTCGGGAATATTTTGAGGTCTATGTTGTTGTTCATGTTGCTTTTCGAGTCAAGTTACTAGACACGATGGAGATAGGCTACAGTGAAGAAGTTAGTGTCAAGTTATCTCTGAAGCTCACGGTGTTTGCGAGGGGGCGTGTCAGACAATAATTGAGCTGGTTACATCGAATGCGTCTTCGCGAGAATCTCTGCTGAGATACATGTAGATCCATCCTACTAGTACGACAACTTCTATTCTGAACCCGGCCTTAGGGACCATTCCCAGACCATATCGTACTTGCTGTGGATCGATCTATCTCAGAGGGGGTTCTCGTTAAATTGCCAACAGCTTTAGCGGTTTAAATGTCTGTCACACTTACTGAAGCTGCTGGAGTGTAATTACCGTGTAGCTATCGTTTACCAGCTTCTGTAGGCGTTCCAGACATGAAAGCCCCTCAAACTGAAAGCAATGTAATGAGAAGCCCCTCGGAGGTGGATCGATCCTGTTAGATCGATCTAGGCATGTGAACCAAGTCTTAGTGTCCAGGCTTTTGTCATGAGTAGTTGATGGTAAAGATATATGAATGTACATGTACGCCTACCCGACACTTAACGATGCACACCTCGGTGTCGGAAGGCCCGGTGATATTTGTTCATTAGCATCCAAAACAGGTTGTTCTTACAAGAGTTATGGCAGACATTCTAACAATAGTGCAAATAGACTAGAATACACAGACACAGCATTTAAAATTAAAAAAAAAACTAGATCTTACAACTGTAATATTTCATTACAGGTCTTCGCAGCATAACAACTCATTTGTAGGTCTGACATGATTTAATTGATTTTCCTGCTACTACCTACTACTTCCTAATTTACTAAGAATGAGGAAATAAAATAAGACTCACTACAGACAAACGTTTTAGTTTTAATTGTAGTCGAGTAGCCAGAACTCTAACCCCGCAATTTTTTTCCTTACAGAAATGCATCACTTGCCACAGGAAAAGCCAATTTTGCTTGGTTTCTCCTCCAAAGACATCGATTATTTTTCAAGATGACCGCCAATTCGTATACCAAACCGGCAAACATCCACACACCTGGTTTAACCATTCAAATTCAATACTTCATATGTTAGGGTAAATCAATATAATGAGATGTGGACCTTTAAAAATAACGACTTATTTAAAACAAATCATGAACAAAATAATTTTTAAAAATTAACGTTCAAGCATTTGTTATAAACGACATGATTTCATCGAAAAAAAGGACCTCTTTCTCTCAATCTCATTTAGGTAGAGATTGGCATATATTTATGTTTTTTAAAATTATCCTTCACTTTTGTGGTCTTCGTATAATGACAAAACTGGAATTCTTATTAGCAGTAGTCCTACAGTGCATGCTTGTCTGTCACCTCGCGGATGGTGGGGGGATAAAATAACAAATAGGAAACATTTCTATTTTGTTTAAAAGAGTATGTGATCTTTGCTGGTGTATTCAGCTGGTCACCTTTGACAGTATTCATTAAACTTATCTTGGTCTATATATTATTAAATATAATAGGTTTTTCATCTCTACATTTTATTTAGCAATGTAAAAAATGTCCTTTACGTATGCGTCTTTCCCAGATGCCTACTTAACTTTTATATGTGCAAAATGTTCACATATTGTTTTTCAAAAACATTTTACACATATTTAGAAAGTGATCAAATATCTGTATTTTGATTTTAAAAAGACAAAATACAGTTTAGGGGTTAATATTGAAAGTAAAAATTTCATGTCTTTTTCACGGCCTTCCCAGACAAATACTAACTTTAATTATATTTTCCAAATTATTATTAATTTCATTGTAAGATTTTGCCTAAAACAATTCCAACATAGAGGAATATACATACGAAAAAATGTCCTTCCAAAACGATAAAATAAATAACACGGAATGCCCCCCCCCCTTCCAAAATAACTGCGACTAAGCAGATTTCCTCTGACTATAAATTCAGAAACATGGTTTGCCTTATCCCGTTAAATGTTACAGTCAAATTTCATGAAGCGTTTATTTATTTATTTATTTATTTATTTATTTATTTTGAGGAAGTCATGATAAAATCTTCTCTTCTCTTGTCGGCCTTTCCCAGGCAATCTTGTTCATGTGACTGTTGGGCTATGGTGTTGAACAAGCTAACATTCTGGCAATTCAGCCGGCCAAAACTCCCTCCTCTGTCTGCTTGTTAAAACTTAGGGACTGCATATTAAAGGCAATTGGGTTGGAGAATTTCACTGATCACGCTAGTTAGCTAAATGTTCTTTTTGAGTTTGGCTAATGTGCTATATGGGTACTCTTGTAGCAATTACATAAATGCGGTAGAGGTGACACTTTTCACTATATAAACTTTAGCACTACGTCCAATACATAGTATACATTTGTGCCTGATGCTGGAGGCACGCTGATTCTTTCACAAAAGAAATGAACAAAACTGGGCTCATGGGAATTGTGTCAGGTCGAACCTGTTAGTAAACGGAGCCCACCTTTGCTACATCACTTGAACTATCTCCCTGTGCATGGCCAGATGCTCATTGAGAGCGTACAGCTGTTTATCTGTGAAATGTCAGGTGGGGTAGGGTGTTTGTTCAGTTGCATCATTGTACATTAAACAGTTCCTCCCGAAAATTCGTTGGTTAAGCCCTACTCCATGCTCAGTAACGCACCTCTGCTCTGCATCAAGGCCTGAAATTGACTGATCTGAATTTGAATCGTTCAATGAAAGGAAACGAGACATAAGTTCCTTGAAAGTATTGACGTAACGTAACTGACTCCATCTGCGTGTGTTTAACTAGGACATAAAGATAAGCCCGCTCTCAAGGTTACAAACCACTATTAAAAATCCCATTCACTTCCATTGTAACGTTTAATTCTCTTAAAAATATTTCCCATGCATCAACAAACACAACACTTCAGGTTTAAATACTTCTATTCAAGGCCTAAACAATATTAAAAAATCAGGGTACATTAATGGCATAGCTTGCCAGTGACATGATATGACCCGTAAGGTGCTGCCGCCAGTCAGCCAAAATAAGCACTAAAATGCAGCAGAGGGGAGGGCATGTAAAACTGGCCCCAGGCAGTAACATTTCACTCTGATATGAAAAATAACACATCAAATTAAAGGTAAATGAACAAATTTATTTCTAAAATTTATTTCAAAATTTTCAAATGATCCAAAATTGAAAAATAAACTCATTTTTCTCTTATATCCAAATCTTCTTGATTCAAACTTGCTAAACAAGGAAGGCCGGAAGTGCCGTATAACCTCAAATGCAGGGCAGGGTCCAGTAATAAACAGACGCCATTTTCTGTCTACCTGTAAGCATTTACAAGCGGGAAAGGAAGGAACAAAACGGATATTTCAGGGATTGAAAAACATTTGCCAGAAAAACTGATTTATATCATTATGCTGCTGAAAAGGTGTTTATTTAACTAAAACACTGTGTTTATGCGACTGTGACATTTGTTCATTAAAGCTGCTGGACCAGGAAGTAGAAAATCGAGAATCACTGACACTTTCTTTGCTAAGCCTGTATCAACGGCATAACAGCCAGCTTTTAGCAACGCGTACACTAACATAGAGACAGTCAGACATGGCAGAAGCACTAGCAGCAGATATTAAAGAAAAAATCTTGACATGTTGCATCTGTCTGGGAGAGTATGAGGACCTCGCGTGCTGCCTTGTTACCATACATTTTGCTTTGGTTGTATATCTGACCATGCTTCGCAAACTGTATCTCGGGACAGGATATTTAACTGCCCTCTTTGTAGAGAACGGGTACAATATCCAAGAGAAGGACTCGTGAAACTGAAGAAAGATTTCCGTGTTCACACAACGAAGGAGCTTCTGAGTCAGAGACAGCAACATGAAGTCTCATCTCCAAGTAAAGAAACCTATGCACATGGTGCGACACAGGTCATTGCACAGATGGCCATCAGTTGTGAGAAACATCCTGATAATGAATTAAAATACTACTGTGAAGATGATGACACTGTTGTATGTAGTGATTGTGCAACAATAGATCATTACAGACATGGTATTGTATCAGTTAATAAAGTTGCAAAGTTAAACAGAGATAAGATTAATGCCGCTTTTGAGAAATCTTTGAAAACGATTAACTGGTTTAAAGCCGCCATGACAAAAGCCTGTGAAGACTCTTATATCAGGACAACTGCTATTAAAAGCATTCAAAAACAAGCCCAGAACATGCACAAATTAATAACTAAAAGGAAGAAAAAAATGATTTCATTTGTCAATTCTTCTTTTGATGTCCAAAAAAAGAAGAAGGAGGCAAATAAAGATATCCTTGACCTCCAATTTGCCTCCCTGCAAAGTGCCTGTGACTTTGCCCAACACTTAATTGCAAATGGCACTGACTCTGATATCATGGTTCATGCAAAATCTCTGATAGAAAGACTGACAGCAATGGAGAAAACACCTGTCCCAACTCCGGACACACCAGCACAGATATCCTACAGCCCTGGTAAGATATCTACTGCTGGGCTGGAAGCCATGTTAGGACAGGTGACAGTACAGTCAACACCTCCATTAGCAGGACAGGGAACACGTCTAAGATCAACAAGACAATCTTCCACACTGAATGCCATGTTAGGACAGTTGACAGTTCAGTCACCACCTCCATTAGCTGTACTGGGGAAAAATCCAATAAAGATGGCAAAATGTGTACACTTACAGGATTTCAATGCTGAGCGGGAAGATGATAGGGGAATGGTAAATATACTTGGATTAGCCCTAGATGAGGAACAAGTGTTTGTTGTTGATAATGGAAATGGTAGAACAAAAATGTTCACACATGCTGGAGAGTTCAAGTTTGACATTAAACTTAACTCTCCATTTGATGTGGCTGTATCACAAACTGGTCGCCTGTATATAACATCACAGGATGACAAGTGTTACAAAGTGTACTCCACCGGAGGTCAGCAGGTGACAACCATGGGTCGCGGTACTACCCCCGGTAGTAAACTTGAGAGTCCACGTGGTATCACACTAAACAAACAAGGTCATGTGATGGTTTGTGATGGTGAAAACAAATCCATCTTCACATTCCATGCAGACAGTGGACAGCTCCTGAACACTTTTCCACTTAGTATGTGTGAATATCCAGTATACATCACAGTGAACAGTGTGAATGATAACATTGTGATATCAGACTGTGGCAAAGACTGTGTGCATGTGCTGTCACCTACTGGTCATCAACTGTTCCAGTATGGCACAGAAGGCAGTGGTGATGGTCAGCTGAATGGAGTACGTGGAGTGTGTACAGACAGCTATGGTCATATCCTCATTGCGGACATTTATAACCACAGGATAGTGGCACTGAGTCCACAAGGAGAGTTTATCAGATACATTGCCACTGAGAATGATGCTTTGGAGTACCCCGTAGCATTAGCCATCAACCCTGCTGGCCAGCTGGTGGTGGCAGAGTTTTACGGCCAAGTTAAGACAGTCCATTATTTTTAATAATTTCTCACCACTTTCCAAACTGATGAAAACATAGACTTGTGAACATTCTTTTGTCTATAGCTACTTATATTTGTCTGAACTTACCATCCAATATTTCGTCTACCTGCAGTCAGACTTCATCAGGGAATGAGGTTGTGGCAGGTGTGACTACCTATCACCCCCTCTGCTGTGCTATTTGCTCACATACCCCTTATTTGAACAGACTATAAACCACCGATGGATTAATGTAATTTCAGTTATCCATCCATATTACATTATACACTAGTAGGTTGAGCATGCGCAGGAGATTGTGGAGAGAGCATCACTCCTGTATTGAAATAGTTAGGGGTGATAATAAGAAGCCATATGTACTAGATAACAGCGAGAGAACCGGATTAAATCTTGCAAAATAGTTTGCGTTTTTCATGTGATCCTCACTATCATGCACTCATTTGACATCCTGTTTCCCCAATATTAAAATTGTCAAACTATGCCACCCCTTCTATATTAATCTTAATTCTCACACTGACTGATGGCGTCCAGAAGGTGGAGGGGCTGTATGGTATGTCTAGTCATGATGGGTGTGTGTGTGTGTGTGTGTGTGTGGGGGGGGGGGGGGTGTTCGTAATTTATGTTGATGTTTTCATTTAATAAAATCTAGCGTGTACTGAGATATTTAAACGTTTCATTTATTGCTTGTTGATGTGGAGGACGCAACTTGCAATAAATGAAACG